CATATAATCGGAAAAATGTAGGTCTAGGAAATATCAATAAGCCTTTCCCATTTTTTCCACTCAATCAGGAAGTTAATGAGATTTATTTAATCTTTTCTATTTGCAATGTATTTTTGAATTTTGTAATGTTCTTTAATTGAACTTTTAATTCCTTGTATAGATAAAGGCACTGTAAGACATCTTGCCTTGTATATATAATGTTTTATTATTAAAATAATACTATTGGCCATTTTATTAAGTCCATTGTAGTTATAAAAACCAAAAAGAAATGTTTGTTTATTATAATCAAATGGAATAATTAATGCATCTAATAAGAACTCAATTTTTTGTAAAAGATTTTGTACTTTTTTACATTCACTTTGTTACAGTTCACAGTAAGGGCTATCTACTAACCTTGCCTTAAACAAATATGCGTTAGTTGTCAAAATGTGCTGATTAATTCTGTACTGGAACCACTGTAAATTGGTATTTTTCGTAATTTTAAATGGCATTTTTATATTTATTTATTTTCCAAATTTCATCATCAAATTGAAATATATCATCCCATTTCTTTTTACCTGTTGAAATAACATCATTTTTACAAAATAAGCTATAAAAATCTCTTATCCCCTTTTTATTTTTCAAAAACATTTCTATATTAATTGGTATAAATGGACAGTTAACCTCTACATTTGACCTATCTTCTTGTATTATATACTCTCTAAAGGCAGTAATTGACCCTGATATCGTAAAAAGTTTGTATTAATATCATAAATCTGTTTGAATTCTTGAAATGTGTTAAAAGCATAGGTATATCTGTCTCTGATTAGATCATCAATCACAATTATTCCTTTATCGTACCATTCCCTGTAAAATGTACTTCTATTTTCTATTGAAATATGTTTGTTATACCCGATTGGCATTTTAAACATACTGCTAGAGGACTTATATTTTTCATTATCTTTTCTCCATGCCCTAAATACATCAATCCAAAATAGATTTTTAGTTTTATTTTGACATTTTGAAATATAATCAGTTCCACAATTTGCCAGAATGTTTTTATCACAATATAATTTTAAAATCACTTGCCATTTACCAGAATTCATATATAACCTCCTAACCTACGTTAAATATAACGAGTCAATAAACGACTGTACATGTAACATTTTAAACCCCTTTTAAATAATCTTTAACGATGAAATCTCTCTTAGCTTTATCTACTTTCCTATTCCACGGAAAATTAAAAAGCTCCATATTTTTTTTTCAGAAAACAATCATCTGGATTAGGTAAAGAGATAAAAAGGTGATTGATTTGTTAAATTAATTATGATTTTATGATATGTATCTGCTAGTAGAGTACTTACAACTTTATATATAAAATATTCACATACCGGTGAAATGTCCTATGAAGTATTTAATAAGTTATATAAAACTTTAACTGAGCCGGTTCTTTTTTATGGATGTGGATTATGGGGTATAAATAAATACCGAGAGGTTTCTGTCATACTACACAAGGCAAGTAGATATTTTCTAGGAGCCTCCCGTCGAGCAAGTAACTTTGCACTCAGAGGTGATATGGGATGGCACTCTTGCAATATATGTCAAGTTTTAGAAACGACACGTTTATTTTTAAGAATAAAGTATTGTGATGATAACAGACTCATGAAAAAGGTGTATATGTCTGAAGAAATCTTGGGATTCTAGAATTTTGAAAATGATTGATGACAAAAATTTGAATGAAATTGTAAATTTAACGTTTTGTGTTAAACACAAGATTAGACGAGTGAAAGAAAAACTAATCATTTCAGATGCTGATGAATGGTACGAGTCTATATGGAATGATAGTGGTAATATAAATGGTAACACGTTGAGAACTTACAGAACTTTTAAATCAAATTTAATACCAGATTCATATGTCAAGCTTGTTAGACAAAAGGACAAACGAAGAGTACTTTTTGATTTTAGATGTGGCTCTCTTCCTCTAACAGTGGACACTGGCAGATACGCCAACTCTATGATTCCACTAGAGGAACGCTTGTGTAAGATATGTACAAATGTAAATAACTGTATAGAGGATGAATTACACTTTTTAATTGAATATGATGTATATAATGACATAAGATCATCCTTATTTAATGTAGCAAATAATATAAGAAATGATTTTGCAAGTCTTAATAACACTGACAAACTTAATTTAAAAAGGTCTTCCGAAGAATTACAAATTCAACTTGCAAAACACTTATATAAAATGTACAGAAGACGTAGCAGTCAATGTGATTAATTGTAATTTTAAACAGTGTCTTGTAAGCCATTTTAGGTTAAATATCATATACAATTACATTTTCTATTTTATGCATTTATTAAATATGTTACCAGGTGTCAATCGTTTAAAGTATAATTAGCTACTAGTTAGTGTAAAATTTAGCAGACCTCGGTGGTAGGGGGTTCCCCAACCCTTGGAAACCTAATTTTCACTATAATGTAGAACTAGGAAATTATTCATTTTATTTATCACCATTGTTATTAGTTTAAACTCTTCTTCGTTTCAATGTTATGCTGTTTATTTTAGCTAGTGATTAACATTCGTATTGGTGTCAGAGAAAATCCCATTTACAGTTCAGATCGAAAGCAATTTTAAGAATTTGCGAATGAAATCAACATACATTTTTATTACATAAATGGAACAAAGATACGATATACATGAATACTCTCGCGAAAACACTTTAATAAGACCAGATGTTCCGGATTGGGAAGCGTCTTCTGCTTTATCGACGACACCCGCTATTTAAATCTAGGTCAAATCTAAGTAATAAATTTACCATGTTCCATTATCGCATACTGCTTAAGTGACAACGAAACAATAACACGCACTAATGAGCATTATAAAAAAAACGTCATTACACAAAAAGAGAAACATAAATGCCGATAAGATCATGATGACGAACATAAAATTTGTCCATTCTTGATCTGCATCCTTGGAAACACAATGCTGCAAGTTTGTACGTCTGCAGTCGGCATCTATCACATAAATCATTATATTCGGAGTTAGTTGTTGGATATCGAATCACATATGACGGGTTAACACCGTGTTGGGCTGTTGCTATCAAGGAAAGAAAATTTCTCAGTCGGAAAAATCAAACTTTTCACGCCTTTGGTATAGAAGCAGGTCGTCCCTTTTAGTCATGTTTTAAAAACAGATCGAGGAAAGCAGAGGAAGTCGGAGTTAATGAAGGTATATATATATATATATATATATATATATGGTAGAATAATTTAAACATTAGTTAATGAAGGTTATCACTACTATCGATAGCCTAGAAATCTAAAAAACAGAAGTAAAACATTATTGATTAATAAGCATAACGTTATGAAAATACATTTCAATTTCATGCTTGATCAGCTGTAGTTTATTTGCGTGTTTAGATAAGCAAAACAGATGTTTTCTCTGTCCTATATAACGGAATACAAGTATGTCTCCAAGCAGCAGCCGTTAATTTAAGCGTTGAATAGTTAAGTTGGATTATTTTGTTGCACTTCGTGTTTTTCATCTTTTCGCCCGAAACGACGAGATATAGCAACGTTTTATTGTCTTTTCGGGACGAAAACAGGAAAGAACAATAATTAATGTTTGTTTGAATGATGTTTTTTATACTTGTCTTTACGGGGCAAAATAATGAAACAAAAATGGCAAAACCCAGCCAGCTTAGATGGGTGTTCCGTCTCAGTTCGTCCTTGATTTTAATGATAACGACTCCCGCCTATCGGAATTATATCTGATACTTTTTAATTTTGTATACAAAATTTGGTAATCCTTCATTGTTATGCATAAGTATTCATTTGAAAAGTGTACAATTTAAACTTTAAATCAGAACAGACATTTCTGTACAAGCGGAATGCTATTTTATAAAGAATGCAGCTTGAATATCAATTAGTGAGTTTTTCAATTACCTTTTTTATACCCGTATCAAACAGCATGCGTATGCGAGAGATATGTATCACTTATGAAACCTTGTTTAATTTGTAGAATTGCACTAATCGGGTACTGCGACACAATCCCGATTTCTTATCCTCATAACTATATATAGGTCTAGAGATTATTTCAGCATTTTTGAAAGCAGATGCATTGCATAACAAAATGGTAAGCTCTGAGGATTTCTTAGTTTGTTTTCGTTTTATTTTAAAACACTTCGCTCAAATTAGAACGGTTGCCTAGGGAGACACTACTGGAAGGGGGAAAGAAAATAGTTAAGAAAGCAGACGGGAAAGAAAGGAAATGAAAAAGATCCAAAGTGTTGCAATTGAGGCAGGGTATCTATTGTGGTCTCTTCCTTGTCCTCTTCGTAGGAGGAAACGAAACACATGCTGTGAGATATACCAGGTCTATTCTTGGGTTTTGTCAATGTCCTATAAATAAACGACACGGACAAAACCAACCCCGATTCTTCAGAGGGGACACATTGTTCGCCTCTAACGATCATGCAGTGGGATATAACATGTCTATTCTTTCCCCAAACCCGTGCGTGTGGGATCTGTGGAATACCGCACACCTACATCACACTTGTTGTCAGAAGGATCTCTTGCGATATCGACTATGTACACTTGTAGCAAATCGTAATCATAATCTATTTAGATATTCAAATGAACTACAAATCAAAATAGTTCTTTTTTTTATATGGGAGATGATACATTCATTCACATTCCGATTCAACAAAAATTGCATCCAATATATGAAAAAGTATGTGCTTATGAAAACTCATAAAATAAAATATCAATGATCTGATGTTCAGCAAGTGAATGCGATCTTATGTTCTTCAAAATGATATTGATCTGCCATTTTGGTGCTTAAAAGTCAATAATTGTATAAGATAAACATATTCACTTCTATGCCAATACCCTTCCAATACCTTTACATCAAAATACAATGGAATACATTGCAAATTGTTAGTTCATCGGGTAACCATACACTTCGATCTCGCAAGGGTTCAAGTTGACACGATCTCGCGAGATTCTGACAAACTGACCAAATAATGGTTTCTCACAGAAAAAAGTTTTCATCTTTCCGACGAAGGCAGGTCCTGGGTAATACATACACAAAGCTCGCGGTCCATTGGCTGTTTCTGCTACGGTGATGTTCAGGCGCTGGTTGCGTTCACCTTAAACATAATAGAGGAAACGAAGGTCACGTCTCTGATATTGTCCAACTATCTTCATCTCTCATAAAAACACATTTTTATGTAATCATGCATAACTCCAGAAAATGGCATTGCAAGGAACGATACAGGTAACTACTAATAAGGTAGTTTATTGTATAACTAATGAATAAACTGATTCTAATTGACTGAAAAACCTTTAATCATATTATAAAACAATATGCAATAAGCCCATAAACAACGAATATAGCCGAAAACCGATGATAATCATTTTTTTTCATATTTCTAATTGAATTTCTTTTCTGTGTTATAATACGCCTTTTTTTAAATGAATACATGAATTAAAATTATGGACAATTAACTTGGTGAATATGCAGTATTATGGGTAATGGAAATGTATTGACCTCGGATTTCACCGCGGTTCATATTTTGGCATTGGACAATAGCAAAGCTTATTTGAAGAGTAAAAAAGTTCAGAATCATATAGAATTTGATTAAAAAATAGTCACTTATCACAACCATCCCTGGATTGAGAATATAATACACCTGCTGTTATCCGTTACATGATCGTAAGAGGCGACTAATGGAAAAAAGAGTGGGCATTGCGATTTTGCCTTCTACTTGGAGACCATTCTCGATATCCAGGGGTTACGCTCACTTTCGCTCTCTGCACCCCTGGAATATGTCATATGTGGATATTGAGGATGCTTGGCGACACAAAAGCGACCAAAGTAAATCTCCTGCACTCATTTCTAACGCCATTCTTGCAAATGTATCACTTTTAGTTTTAATGCTGAACGTTCGCCCAGGAGAGAAAGGCAGTGAATAACAAATGGTAGCTGTTATTCCCTGCTAAACAGTTAGCATTTAAGTTAACGACAGCAACTGGGTAACCCGTTTTCAGTATAATGTGATCGGGCGAAATGTTATGGTAGACGCTTCGGCATAGTATTTCAGTGAGGTAGCACTATAAAATCGGCATCAGATCTGCGCTACCACAAACAGGGGGGGGGGGACATACCCTGCCTCTGGCACACATACACACAACCGTGCATACATTAAACACATAGGAGCACGTCATGTGATGTTGAAGGGACGTAAAACCCTATAAAACCAAACTAAACTTACCACAACATTCGATCCTGCTAAGGAAAGAGACAGACAGTACAAGATGTCGTGATCCAAGGTCAACCTGCCAGAACGGGGAGTGATCTTCATCATCCTCACCCAGGTAAGCAGTGTGAGAGCACGACTTTAGATCATGGTCAAGTTCATTTTGGAATGGGTACCGACGCGAGTCGACAGCATTTTCTGGTCCGAATGTTCTGTCAGTGCCGTAAAATGAAGATTGGATGGCCGTTTTTCCGGCAGCCAAATTCCCAACTGGACCTGAATAGCATTAACATTTGACGATGTAATTTGCAGATTCGTGGGTGTATGCTGGTGCTGAATTGTCAGAAAGCAGTAGTGAAAAGCATGGTCTTACTACGCCAAATCTGCATTAAAAAATCCTTAATTTTAATATAAAACCGAAAAACATGTGATATTATTTACAATTGGATAATTGAAATTGCGGAGCATAAGCCAAGATACAAATCGAGATAAATTCTCCTCCGAGTATGACCTCTCTTAAGTTTCAATGTCATTCCTGAGTTCTGTGAAATAAGATATTTCGTGTTTTCCCTAAAGAAAACACCATTTCGTGGGTACATGAGTTCTTGGATTACGAGTGTCCCACTTTCACGGATAATTACCTTATGAGAAACTTGTAATTTGTTCGTGAACCTATAAATTCGTGAAGGAAGATTACGTGCGAAATCACCAAATAGAAAAACCACGAAAATTTTGTGATTTTTCAGTTGTTTTTTCAAAATTTCCCAGGAATGACATAAAATCATTTTCATTGTTATTTCTTTGTTCATTCTACAACACTAACAGTACCTGCTAAACATCAATTTCGTATTTACCTTTTCGAGCAATACATACCTGCTAGTTCGTAGTACTTCATACCAATAACAGTTCTAATCGATATCATATCGTGAAGCTTAACAGAATATCCATGACAGGTGTTTTGATCGAAGAAGATAGAGGCACAATCAACATCCCTCAGACACACATACAAACACCATCGGACTTGTGTGCTACTTATCGTCCATAAAATACCAGATGTTGGTATTTTATCATTGTACCGTTCATCTATACGGTAATGAACGCTTTTTATCTCTGAAAATATATATTTAAAGCATCAAAGGTACTATCAGAACATTACCAAATACCAGTGAAACTGATACACTCATAGCTTTGCTAAATCATTGGGATATAGGGGTGGGGGGTTTTCGCACTCAGAACAAATGTGGCTCATGTTTGTATCATCGTGCATAATGTGAAAACTGTAGCACATTCGCATTTCAAAAAATGTATGTGACGGAAAACAGACGTCTGAACTAAATGGACTACGATTGAGATCAAAAATATAATCAAACGTAGTTGTCGGCACTTGTTTTATTGCATGAGGCCGTTTCGGCCGCGTGAGCTAGTACACTACATTGATAACATTATCTCGGAACAGGTTCATTACAGTACCCACGTAGAAACATTTATCAGTAATGGTAAAAGGTGGACAAGTAGTTATATTAAACTGCAAGAGAGGTATTGATCGCGACGAAGCTGAGGTAAACATCATTTTTAGGTCCATAAAACCGCATATTTACCGAGATAAAAGTCAAAAGTGAAGCATATAGGTATAGAACTGTGAAGAAAAGTGAAGGGGGAACGATGTACGGTAAACATAGAGTGAAAAAAACTGTGAAGGTAGAGTGATAGAACTGTAAAGGCAGAATGCTGTACTGTTATGGAAGAGAGATTGAGTTTAAGGCAGACTGTATAATTATAAAAGAAAAATGACTGACAAAGAAGGGGAGAGAAGACATTTGAAAGGAAAATACGCGACTGTAAGGAACGAGCAGTTTACTGTAAAGTAAGAGCAATTAACCGTAAAAATATGCGATTTACTGTAAAGAACGAACAAGATAGTGTTAAGAAAGAGCAATTTACTGTAAAGAAAGAGCAATTTACTATAAAGAAAGAGCATTGTATTGTAAAGAAAGAGCAGTTTACTGTAAAGAAAGAGAGATAAATTGTAAAGAAAGAACGAATAACTGTAAAGAAAGAGCAATTTACTGTAAAGAAAGAGCATTGTATTGTAAAGAAAGAGCAGTTTACTGTAAAGAAAGAGCAGTTTTCTGTAAAGAAAGAGATTAATTGTAAAGAAAGAACGATTTACTGTAAAGAAAGAACGATTTAATGTATAGAAAGAACGATTAACTGAAAAAAATGAACAAGATACTGTAAAGAAGAGCAATTAACTGTAAAGAAAGAGCAATTTACTGTGAAGAAAGAGCGATTTATTGTAAATACGAGCAACCTCCTGTAAAAAAAAGAGCGATATACCGTAACGAACGAGTAACTTACTGTAAAGAACGAGCAACTAACTGTAAAGAAAGAGCGATTTATTGTAAATACGAGCAACCTCCTGTAAAAAAAGAGCAACTTACTGTAAAGAACAAGTAACTTAATGTCAAGAACGAATAATTGACAAAAATCGTCATCATATTATGATTACCATCTGTGAAACTTCAGTATCTGAATTGAATGAAGTATGATTTCCCGTAAGGCAAACATAGCAATTCTTGCTATCCTGCTTCCCTGTTCAAAAAGCGACAGGGAGGAAGTGCAACGAAAACATGACGAAGGAAATAAACAAATACTTATTACAGAGTCTAACTTACCTGATCCAAAGCATTTACACAAGAAGATTAACATTATTCCACAAACTTTTACCATCTTCCAGATAGAATCCATTACCATTTAATCGGACAACGATTTAATTCTGATAACTCCTGACGAATTTTTAGATAGGTTAAAACTATTTCTTGGCACTGTGTGATCAATGAAAATAAAAGACAGTGTTATTTCTTTCTGTATCAACGAGGTTAGTTGAGGTTCCAACGTTACCACAAATGAATAGCATTCCAATGATATTTTCTCTTGTCATGCTATTACACGGCCAATTTGATAAACAAATTACATTGCCGAAGGCAGCAAATCGTGCCAGTACGGAAGG